GACTGGATCACACCCTAAATATATGGAGGGCTTGCCACTTTCTGCTCAACCCCTGGACCTCAGGGACACACGGACAGAGGGTGATATTTGCTTTGTGTGGGGCTGGGCCCAGGGGAGTTGGTTACTTGGCTGTACCTGCAGAGACAGAGTGAGTTTTAGTGGTGGATTTTTAATACTTTTGAATTTTTGGTAACATCGGGAACGTCGGATTGCATGCATGAGGAGGGCAGTTGTTTGCCATGCACTTCGCTAAGTCCCGGTGAGCAGGACCTTTTGTGTTCCTGTCAGGAGGGCTCTGGATACCACTTCTTGGTCATGTGACTCAAGCTCCATTCCCCCTCAGGACTTTGGGAGACAGAGGCTTTGGGTGAAAAGGCAGACCAGGGCTTGAGGAATTTTTATTTTTCACTTCAGAAGGCAGCATCTAAGAATCCCTGTACAGTTCACCTGCTCCAGTGCCGTGGTCCTCCTGGGGTGGGTAAGAGCGAAGGTGTGGCAGGGTTTTGGGCGACTGTTGTGTGATGCAGTGGTCAGCTTTTCATTGCTGTGGCCAAATACCTGGGAAAATAAATTGAAAGGAGGAATGATTGATTTTGGCTCCCGGTTTCAGAGTTCACGTCTATGGTCGGCTGTTGCGGAAGGGCCTGGTGGAGGAAAGTTGCTCCATGGCGTCAGGGAAGCAGAGAGTGAAGAACCAAAGAGGCAGAGGCCAGGGACCAGAATCTCCCCGGTCACACTTAGTAACCCACACTCTTCCACCACACCCTGCCTGCTAAAGTGCTATGATATCAGCAAATGATGGATGGTTTAATGCACTGGAGTTGACCCCTCATGATCCAGTCACCTGGAAGCCCCCCAATAAATGCATGAGACTTTGGGGGAAAGATTCAAGATCTGAACCCTGAGATATAAAAAGTTAAAGTCATCCTGTTAGAGTGATTCATGCACATGCATGTTTACAGCAGCTCACGCAACAGCTAAACCATGGAAATACTGGTGTACTAGAAAAAGTGTGGCACTCACACCCTGGCATGCCGCTCTGCCGTAAGGAAGGGTAAACTGCAGCCATTCCTGTGAAATTAATGTACCTTCAGACCACAATATTCCGAGAAATAAGTCAGATGCACAAGATTAAATCCTGCATGGTTTCTCTTTGGGTCAGAGAACCAAAGATACAGGTGATTTAAAGAGCAAAATAAAGGAGATCTGCTGAGGAACAGGGAGCTGGACTCTGGAGCTCAGAAGGGCTGTGGAGGGGGGACATGGGAAGAGGGGTAACGCTGATGGCAGTGCAATCCATGATCCATGTGTGTGTCCACCCAGGCTCAGTGTGATCACTGTGTTGCAGACATCTATTGTGAATGGTGGGAAAGAAACCAGTTGACCTTTATGTCTAAAAAGAGGAACAGGGGAAGCTCAGACAGGGTAGCAGTGGCATCCTGGTGGAGCCCTGTGGAGATGTGCTTTGAGGCCAGGTGGGTCACTGGCCAGTGTGTGCAGGCCAGGACACACTAAAAGCCTGCTCCCTGGCTTTTAGCCCAGCGAGGCTCCCTACGCTCTCTGACTCTGGAGTTGTAAGCCTTTGCTCGTGTTGTTTTCAGTCACCACTGGGGCAGCAGCAGCAGCAGGACATGCACACCAGTCCCTGCCCGGTGGTAGTGAACCTTGCCGCGTGTCCTGCTGTGCTGCATGACATGTCAGGGACAGCTCTGCTCAGGGTCCCAAACCTGGATAGGATTTGCCATTGCCCTCATTTCCTGTGCTTTAAGCTCTTAGCATGGTTTCACCGTTTTTGCTCCTAAAAGTCAAAACCCTCACTTTGGGGGAACTTGCGAGGACACAGCTGGGGTCCATCTCTACTACAGTTCAGGAATGCTTGCTCCGCCATGCCCTCATGCAGCTGGACACTGCCGCCACTGTCCTGTGGGAGTTTTCCCAATCTCATCATCTCCCCAGCACCTAAGCAGAAAGACACCTTGTGTCGGCCTTCCGAGGGCATCGTCCATCATGGTGATGTGTTAAGTGTGGGCACAGCCTGGCTCTGAGACCGCTTGACAGTGCCCTTTAAACAGGGAACACAGAGGCCCGAACCTCTGTCCTCCATGGAGGGATTGATGGCCCAATCAGTGCTGATGGGACACCCAGCCCCATAAACTCTGGGATCTTGAACACTTTTAAATTAAGAAGATGTAGGTTCCCAGATGAAGAATCCCAGAACTCCTGAATTTATTGTTCCTTGTAAGGCAAGAAAAAGGTGAAATCCCATAGATATTACATTTAGAGCCATGTTTTTGTGGAAGTGTGTGCAATTTTCATGCTAGTGTCTTTGAGATTTAATGTCTTTACCATTTCCTTTTTCTTCATTTCTTGTGATAGACTTACTTAAAAATAATAGAAATAGTTGGGCCAGTTAATTGGCCTTAGTGTGAGGTGCGTGAGACATTTCCAGTGAAATGCAAGCATTAGATTTGAAACCGACCTTCTAGTTCTTTCGTCCTTTCTGTGTAAGAGGGGCAGGGTGTAGGTTCTACCTGGTGCAGTTGAGTTGGCCAATGGCTCCTATTGGGTGAGAAGCAACCGCAAAAATATCAGAAGAGGAGAAACAGCAGTGCCATTCTATCCTAGGCACCCAATACATTGCTCCTCAAACTGTGGAGAGAGGCTGGGATGGGAGTGGTAGACACTTTTTCTGCATCCAGGTAACTGCTTACACAACTGTTCAAGCCTTCTTTCTCCTTTGAAGTGTTTATTTGTGTTGGAGGACTTTCATAATCTTGTTATCCATACTGGGATTCTTTAAATGGTATTTTCCACATCCTGCTAATTGTACAAATGAAACAAGACATTTACCATATGTTGGCTATCTAAAAACATTGTGAAGATACACCTTCAGATAGAGGTAATTTAAAATTTTAGAAAATATGCATAAGATCATGATATATTAAAACTGAAACATGGAACTTTTATGTCCCAAACTCAGCAGAATGGGGGAATCTTTATATGCGTTTTCTCTGATTGAAAGTCTGGGCAACACTGTACTGTAGATTGTAGGTTTCTATGAGACACTCATTTACCAAGCTGATCATTTCCATTCAACAGGAGACTCACAGCACAAAGTCTTAAGAGCCCAAACAGCGCCACTTAGGTTTGGTAAGTATAACCTTTAGTGGGCCTCCATCCCCTTGGTCCATCGGGCCACTGGACCTTTATTCTGTATCTCTCAGTGGCACCTGTAGTTTAAGGAGGTCAGCACTAGATGACCCTCGATGCCTCCCCATTTTCTTAGGTTCTCTTTCACACTTCATGTGCAAGCTGATGAAATCCTCAGAGGCCTTCTGTCTTGTATTGTGATGGTTCTGACTACTTCCCCTACTGATCTGTGAGATTACTGAGAGCACACAGGAGGATACACACACATCCATTCACATACAGTGACAACCTTGTTGGGGGATCGGGAAGAGCTAGGACATTTGCAAAAGAGACAGCTCCATGCCGTCCTGCTCAGAACTGTGGACTTTGAATTCGGTGATCTGACTTGGAGTCTCAGTGAGACCCAGATTTTACACTCCTGGCTCCTGTATCGATCCTGGGTTCTTGGAAGTGGAAGGGCTGGGTTTTGCTGGGCATGGGTCACTGAGAATTCAAGGCCAGCCTTGGCTACATAGTGACTTCGAGATCAGCCTGAACTGCATAGACTCTGTCTCAATCAATCAATCAATCAATCAGTCAATCAATCAATCAGTGAAAAGCCTGGCATGGTGGTGCATGCCTATAATCCCAGCACCTCAAGTGCTGAAGCAGGAGGACTACAAGTTCCAATGGAGCCTGGCCAATTTGGGGACTAATGAGGCCCTATTTCATGGTGAAAAAAATGAAAAAAGGAGCCAGAAGTGTAGTTCAATGCAGAGGCCCTGGATTCATCTCCCAATACAGAAAGAGGGAGACCAAGTGAGAGAGAAAGACTGTTGCCAAAAATTCACCCATTGTTATCAAAATATATTTATGACACAGTTACACATGACCATTTTATTTAAAATGCATGTAGTTTACAAAAAAGGCTTTAATGCAGTGAGTAATTCTTGACCCACGCTACTTCTGTGGATTCTAACTTCGTTCTTTGGGAACACATAAGGTGAATACTTCTGCGTTCTTCGTAAATGAGCTAGGAGAACAGTCACTGCAGGACGCCTCAGCCAGTTGGCCATCAGTGGAGACAGCAGTGCTTACCTTAGTGGGGGTGATGTGGGAGTTAGAGGGTGACACATACCGCATACCCCCTCTGGCTGGCGGCCCTGGGATTAGACATCTGAAGCCAGCCGCATGCCTGGCATAGTTCTCACCTTCTCCCTTACATATGGGGCTCTGCTGGCACCAATCCTATAATACGTTTCTTCTTATCACTTAGAACAGCAGGGAGCTACAGCACAGAGTGGTGAAATAATTCATCCCAGTTCACATGGCTGGCTCCACACACAGAGCTGCTGTTATAATCAATACCTGCATCGTTATCAATACCTGCAGTTCAGTGAGGTCCGGAGCTCTCCCGCCAGCGCTTGTGGAGAATCCACAAAGGGCGTCCTCTTTCCCATAAAGGCAGCTGCGTTGGGTCTAATGGATGTCCTGACCTTCACAGTGCTGCGGTGCCAGTTTTGCTCAGTAGGATTCTATCTAAACTAATTAGCTGCATGTGGAAAGGCGGAGTGCCTCTCCCTGCTCGCTGGCCCTGTGGGAGCCCGCTGACTGTCAGCCTAGGCGCTTGCTTAGGGGATTGGAATGGAGGTGCTGTGTGCAGGAGTCACGCTGGGTGGGTGGGCAGTGAGACAGGACCAGTGAGAGCACTTTGAAAGGAGAGCAGGGCCAGTGCTCCTGGAGGCCGTGCAGAGGTGGGAGGGGTGGCTGGAGAGGCACAGGTGACACCATAGGAGATGGGGTGCGCTTGCCATGTGGGTGATTGAGACAAAAGATACGATTTATTTATCTTTAATTTTTAAACAGGTGTTTTTGACACTTTTGGAAGATTCCAACAAGAAATCATACGGTGTTCCAGGCACTGAGATGGAGCCTCAGGACCAAAGACGCCCTGAGCCACCCCCTCATCCCTGTGAGTACAGAGTGGATTTCTCTGGGTCTCTAGCCTCGTTCAACATCCTCTGTTCCTGGAGTTGGAAAGTGTCAGAGTGAACCAGTGTGTGGGAGGGATGGGAGTGGGCAGTGGGTGGGCTATGGGTGAATCTGGGTCAGACACAGGAAACTCAGGAGTTTGTCCCATCTCAGAGAGGACAGCTGTGTATAGATAGGTGAAAGTTTATCCTTCCTTCACATCTACACTTAGCAGAAAGTTCTGAGGAAACGCTGACACTGTTCATTACGTTTTCCCTGCGATGTGAACAAGCCAGTGTGGGCTTCCCTTTTCAGGGCTTCCCTGTTGCGTGGTCGTGCTTCGGGCAGCAGGTTGATGTGGGTTAAGAAACTACTCGGTGTGTATTTGCCTCACGGGGCTCCGTCCCTGAGGACCCTGTGTTTTGTGCGCAGACCTCTTTGTGTCAGCATTAACAAAAGGACAGGATCCTGGCTTGGTTTCCAGGGTGGGATTGCAGCTCTGGTTCACCCCTATGCCTAGCGTGTTTATTAGCAGAAACTCATCAGGGATCACAGAGCCAGGCTTGAGGGTGCAGAGGGTAACAGATCTCAGAGGGCACCTTCAGAGAACTCATCAGGAACTCAGACCTCTGGGTATACACCTAGGGTTAATGTGTTTTGTTACTTTTAGTAGATGCTCGGTATAATCTTAGCAGCGCTACTCGAGTGTTGTAATTTTTCTACTTGCTTCCCAGCCCTTGTTATAATGAAATTTAATTATCTATCATCTGTCATCTTGAAAGTTGATGCCTAGTGGATTTCTCATTGCAGCTTTCCTTGTTAGTTCCCTAATGATTGTGCCAAACATACGTTCTCTTTATAACAGCCTTGTTGAGATATAACTCACACACCTCACATTTTACCCATTTCAGGTATACAATGCATTGAGTTTATACTTGTGTCCTCCTACCAGTATCAATTTTAGACCTTTTTCTTTGCTCCCAAAAGAATCTCCACTCTGCACCATGTAGATACCCCTCCCCGCCAACCTCAGGAAACCTCTGACATACTTCCTATCTCTGTAGATTTGCCTCTTCTAGACATTTTATATAAATAACATCATAGATGTTGTTTTAGTCCATTTTTAATATTGCTGAGACACAATACCTGATGCCCAAAGTTAAAGGAGGAGAGGTTTATTTGGCTCACAGTTTGTGGAAGTTTCCGTCCATAGTCAGTTGTCTCCAGAGCAGGGCGGCACTGCAGATGGGCATCACAGAGGAGAAATTGGTCCTGGTGGGCAGAAGGCAGAAAGCAGCAAGCAGCAATCAAATGTGACAAGAGCAACTTCCTTGTGTCCCTTTATACCCTATATGGGTGCTACCCTAGGACAGGTAGCGCTCACATCCACAACTGTGCCAACCAATCAGTGGCCTGATTTAGTAATCACAACCATTGCTTCCAGCATCACACACCCTTGGTCCTCACACAGTTAATCCCAGTGTCACACTCTAGATCCAACCGCCAAAGCCATGGGTGACTGTAAGAGGCTTTTCGGGGACATCTTGATACAAGTCAAACAGTACAGTCTTCTGGGAGCAGCTTCTTTGACTCAGCAGAAGTTATTCAGAGTTTACTGAGACACTATGTATTGGCACCTTATTTCTTTCGATAGCTAGATGGTGTTACATTATTGTGTCTATGACATATTTTTGTCCCCTCATCAGAGGATGGGTGTTGGTTTTGTTTCCAGTGTCTTCCTATTATGAATATGCTGTTGTGACAGTTCACATGCAAACTGATTTCCATGGATGTGTGTTTGTTCTTGTCTGTATCTAGGGATGGAATGGCTAGATACACACAAGATCATCTGTTTAGTCATTTGAGGAACTGTCAGAAAGTTGTGTAAATTGTGCACACCCCAAACTCCCACCAGCTGTGTGTGAGGGCTCCTGCTTCTCTGTAACCTTACTAACATCAGTGATTCCTAATACTGGGCATCTTTTCATATGTTTATAGGCTATTGTAAATCTTTGAAGAAATGTTTGTTAAAATTCTTTGTTCATTTCTGAAAGCTGTCAGTGTCCCTTCCCCCCATTTTTGTTATTGTTATTGAGTTGTGAGAGTTCTTTACATTTTGTGGATGTAAATCCCGCCACACTGCTGTTACTGAATGGAGCAGCCTCACATCAGTTACATTTGTGTTTCTGACAGTGCTATTCGATTCTCTGTCTTTCTTGGCTTTCTGTCAAGTTGTTTTGCCCATTCTTGAAAATTGGTATTGAAATTTTTTACTATGATGTAGATGTGTGATACTCTACTTTGATTTCTCTAAGCGATCGCTTCACATGTGTAGGAGCCCTGGTGTTTGGCTCAGGTGTCTTTAACTGTTACATCTTCTTGGTTATTTGATGCTTTCCATAAGAGGAGCATTTTATTTATGAAGTCCTTTTCATTTGTTGGAACCAATATCCACTTAGCCTGTTTGTCTGATTTTAGTGTAGCTATCCCTCTTCTTTTCAATTATTGTTCCCCTGAAGTATCTGTCCCTATCTTATTAGCATATACATGTCTGTGGGCCTTTTGTAGACAACATAGAGTTGAATCCTACTTTTTCTTTTTGAGTAATGCTTTCGGTCTATCTTACACACTTTAATTCTTTTGCAATGAATTAAGCAAATTATGATAGAGTAGCACTTGTTTTGCATTTTGTTTTTTGTATGCCTTGATTTTTGTGTACTTTTTTGATATGGCATGTTTTTGTTCTGTTATTTCCTTTTATGTATGTCATGCAAATACTTATTTTATTTACCAAAGGAATTATGTATAGTACCCTAAAGTTACGATAATCTCTTTCAGGTTAATATTAACTTAACTTCAATCAAATGCAAAACTTTTTACTTTACCAGTTGTACTCTACTGATTTTATATTGATGGTATCAAAAATTACGCCTTACATATTTATGTATGCAAAAGAGCTTACGGTTATTTCTATGGTTATTGGCTTTTAAAACTTGCAGAAAATATGGAGTGCAAAGAAAAATTCAGTGGTATTAATTTTATATTTGTCCATTTATATTTATGTTTACTAGAAAATTTTTGTTTGAGCTGTGAGTTATTGTCTAATGTTCTTTCATTTTAATGTGAAGGGCTCCCTTTACCATTCCTAGCAGCTCTGCTAGTCATGTGCTTCTATAGTTCCTGTTGATTTGCAAGGGTCTAATTTCCCTTTCAGGTGTGAAGGGCATTTGCGCAGGATGTAATATATAATTTTACGATGTTTCTTTGTCCTTTGGAATGCCCACCCACCGCCTTCTGGGAATCACGGTTCTCTTGAGATGCTCAGTTGATAGTCATATTGGGGAGTCTTCCTTTCTCACCTTCCAAGTGACTTTTTCTTTTGACTTTTGGTGGTTTATTTATAATGCGTCTTGGTGGGTGTCTTCGGTTTCTGTTTCTTGGAGTTAGTTCATAGATCTTACATTTGCTTATTCCTATTTCCTCAAATTTTTGAAAATTTGAGCCTGCTTTTTCTCTTCTTTTTCCCTAAATTTCAAAATTCAGGTATTGTCCACTTCATAGTATCCCATAAGTCTTTTGCTTTCTGACTATTTTACTTCTTTTTAAAAATAAAAATTGTTCCTCATATACTATGATTTTATGATTTTCCTTACTTTCACTGATGCTTTTTTCTTGTCCAAATCTACTCTTCAGCTTCTCTAGTGATGTTGTTTTTCAGTTCAGTTACTGTACTTTACAGTTCTATACTTTTTTGTTTTTTTTATATTTTTAAAATAATTTTTGTCTCCTCGTGGATATTCTGATGTGGCTCGTATAGTGTCTTCCTGATTTTATTAAGGTCTTTACCATCTTTCTCTTAAACTCTGAAAATACTTAGGGAGGTTATTTTCAAGTCTTTATTGGCATATTTGTCTTCGGAGACTGTTTGTGAACATTCCTTTGCTCCTTTGCAGGGAGCAGGCTTACCTGTTTTTGTCATGCATGTCTCTGTGTGTGTGTGATCATTTACTGAAACTTGGCATTTAGTAAATCAGCCTCTCCTCCTCATCTTTGTAGAGTGGTGCGGAAGACATTGGCCAGTTAGTGGTTCCTGCATCTTGAGTCCAGCTGGAAAAGGCTTGTGGACCTCTCAGTTCTATTCTGGGCTTGTGCCCTGTCTGAGCATCTATGGACACACTCTTCTTCTTTCCAGTTTCCCTTGGCTGGTTTTAAATGCTTCAGCTTCTCAGTGACTCTCACCCTAGCATGTTTTAGAGGTTTCAGATGCTCCACTGCTCCCCGATACCTTAGTCTGTAATCCCAGACATCTGTTGTCCTCCTCAGCTTTCACATGCTATTGTGTCTGCTGATTCTTTTGGTGGTTTCAAGACTGAGATCTAAAGTCGGTTGCCATTCCTGTGTCATCTCCCCATGAGGTGCAACAAATCAGTGCCCCAGTGAGTGCACAGCCAGGCCAGAACTTCAGAAACAACTTCCATACTGCTCTTTCTGTCCCAAAGGAGGGATGAAGAATTGAGCCATTTCCTTATAACCCACGAACACAGGGAAAGTAAGGCAGGGCCGCATTAAAACATCACAGCTACCATTCTGTGTGTGGTTTTCTTTTCCTGTTTCCATGGTGGAGACAGTTGGTTTGGTTGCTTAGATACCTCACTGACTTACAGGGCTCCTGTTACGGTTAGTCTGTGGTTGTTCATTTGCTGTCTCCATCGCAGATGGGTGCCTGGAGGTCCTAATCACCATCTTCCTGCATTGCTCACCTCTTGCTTGTTTTAAGGGACTGTTTTTGTGATTGAAGAGTCTGACTTCCTCAATTTTTTTGAGTTTTTAGCCAAAAGCTGTAACTGAAGCACACCCAGAGTTTTTTTTCTTTTCCATGTTATCTTGCAGTTTTCGATCACTGTAACAAATATCTGGGATAATTAATACCTGGGATAGAGAAGTGCATTTTGGTGCAAAGTCTTGGGGGTTCTAGTCTGTGACCAACTGTTGGCCTTCACC